ATGATTGGGCTGAGATACGTGGTTGCGGTCAGAAAGGACCTGCTGCTTCAAGATGGAGACATGATTGATGGCGTCATCAAGGCGGTAATGAAGGGCCTGGCGGACCGTGACGACGACGTTCGCTCTGTCAGTGCGGCCACTCTGATTCCAATGGCTCAAGAATTCGTCACGATGCGGCCGCAAGCCCTCGATGGCCTCACCAATATCGTGTGGGAGAGCCTCTCCAACCTGGGAGACGACTTGAGCGCCAGCACGGGCCGAATCATGGACCTTCTCGCTACGCTCTGCAGCTTCCCCCAGGTCCTCGAATCCATGAAGACGTCTGCTGCCGAGGACGAGGAGCGATCCTTCACTCTGCTGGTTCCCCGGCTCTATCCGTTCCTGCGACACACCATTACTTCGGTTCGCCTTGCTGTGCTGAAAGCTCTGTTGACCTTCGCGAACCTTGGCGATGAGACGTCTCAGGGCTGGCTCAACGGCAGGATCCTCCGCCTTATCTTCCAGAACATCCTTGTTGAGCGGGACAAGGAGACTCTCGAAATGTCCCTGGAGTTGTGGGCTGCCTTGGTTCGCTCATTGGCCAAGAATCCCGCCATTCTTGCTGACGAGTTCGCCCCTCACATCGATCCATTGATGAAACTGACTCTGCATCCCATCGGCGTCTCGCGGCACCCGATCCCTATGCACGCCGGCCTTTTCCAGAAGCCATCCGGGGGCACCTACTCGGCTCCAGGCCCAGTACAGTCCGGTAGGCGCCTTTCCTCGCCTGAGGGTGCCGAGAGGCCGGTGAAGCGCCGTCGAAAGTCTACCAAGGTGGAGGAAGTCACCCCGGCCAACCTGACGCACGATGTGGACGGCCACATGATGCAAGGCGACGTTGATCTTGTTGGCCTGGATATCTTGATTCGGTCAAGAGTCTCAGCTGCCAAGGCCATGGGCCTCATCATGTCCTTGGTGCCTTCAGCGAACCTCGACGACTACGATGCCCTACTTGTTCCTGGCCTCACCTCCGCTTTCTCCTCCACGCAGCTGACTGCCTGCCTTGTCATCGACGAATTCGCGAGAAACTGCCAAAATGCCGAGGATCCCGCCCGCTACCTGGAGCACCTGCAGCGTATTGTAGAGTCAGAACGGCCTTCGGCTTACAGGGATCTAGTGACGTTTGTCCAGAGAGCCAGGAGTCAGTGCCAGCAGTTGCTTCACCTGTTCCGAGACCATGGAAAGGTCTCTCATAGCAAGTTGCCAACCTTGCCGGTCGTGGTTCAGGGCGAGGCCGAAGCTGGCCCCAGTGCCTTTTCGATTGCCACCGCTGAAAAGTGTGTGGGCGAGGATTTCGAAAGGTTGCGCAAGATTATGCCTCCGGGTCAAAAGTTGATCGCTGGCCAGCAGCTGGATGAGGCCCGCGAAGATACATTATTGGCTATCCAGGAGGCCAAGGCATTCAAGGAGGCCCGCGACGTCAGGATCAAGGCGGGCGCTGCGTGTGCCATGGTCGCAATGAAGCTGTTGCCGAAGAAGCCCAGCCCCCTCATCAAGAGCATCATGGACTCCATCAAGACTGAAGAAAACCATCAGCTCCAGAGCCGCTCGGCGGAAACCATTGCAAAGCTCGTGCAGCTGTTCACGGAGAAGGGGAGGCGCAATCCCGCAGAAAAGGTGGTGGCCAATCTGGTCAAGTTCTCCTGCGTTGAGGTGGCAGAGACTCCCGAGTTCCCTGTGCACGCCAGCAAGACCAACTGCATCCTCTCCATGCAAAAGGAAGAGGATCGTGTCGACCACCCAGACGCCGCTAAGTGGGCGAGGGAAGCCAAGGCTGCCCGAATCACTCGCAGAGGCGCCAAGGAAGCTTTGGAAATACTATCCAAGACTTATGGCGAGGCTTTGTTCGAGGCCGTGCCCAGCTTGCAGGGCTTCATGCGGGATGCCCTGGTCAAGGCCTTTACAGGGGACCTGCCCGCGGAAGCTCGGGACCCTGAGCAGACATTTGGCCAGGAGATTGTCGATGCCATGTCGCTCATTCGAACAATGACGCCCACCCTCCACAAGAGCCTTCATCCCTTTATCATGGAGATGATGCCTCTAGTCATCAAGGCTCTGCAATCAGATCTGTCGGTGTTCCGCTACATGGCCGCCAAGTGCCTGGCTACCATCTGCAGTGTCATCACGGTCGAGGGAATGACGGCACTCGTAGAGAAGGTCCTGCCGTCAATCACCAACCCGCTTGACCTCAAGGTCCGCCAAGGCGTCATCGAGGCCATCTACCATCTCATTGCCGTCATGGGCGACGCGATCCTTCCATACGTCATCTTCTTGATTGTGCCCGTCCTTGGCCGAATGAGCGATTCCGACAACGAGATTCGCCTCATCGCTACCACGTCTTTTGCAACGCTTGTCAAGCTGGTGCCTCTCGAGGCCGGCATTCCCGACCCGCCCGGCTTGTCGGAAGAGCTACTCAAGGGACGGGATCGTGAACGGACCTTCATCGCTCAGCTCCTCGATCCGAAAAAGGTTGAACCGTTCCAGATCCCTGTGGCGATCAAGGCGGAACTTCGATCATACCAGCAAGAAGGCGTCAACTGGCTCCACTTCCTGAACAAATATCACCTGCATGGCATTCTCTGCGACGACATGGGACTTGGAAAGACTCTGCAGACCATTTGCATCGTCGCCAGTGACCACCACCAACGACAAGAGGAGTTCGCCAAGACTCAGGCTCCTGATGTCAGACGGTTACCATCTCTGATTGTATGCCCCCCGACACTGTCGGGACACTGGCAGCAGGAAATCAAAACCTATGCGCCTTTCCTCAGCGTCACTGCTTACGTCGGGCCGCCAGCTGAGCGCAAAGCCATGAAGGACAAACTCGGGGATACGGACATCGTGATTACATCATATGACGTGACGAGGAACGACTCGGATGTCCTTGAGAAGCACAACTGGAACTATGTTGTGCTGGACGAGGGTCACTTGATCAAGAATCCCAAGGCCAAGATTACCCAGGCCGTGAAGAGGCTGTCAAGCAACCACCGGCTCATCCTCACTGGTACACCGATCCAGAACAATGTGTTGGAGCTTTGGTCATTGTTCGATTTCCTCATGCCCGGGTTCCTCGGAGCAGAGAAGGTGTTCCTGGACCGATTCGCGAAGCCCATCGCGGCCAGCCGATACAGCAAGGCATCGTCAAAAGAGCAGGAGGCCGGTGCCCTGGCAATCGAGGCCCTCCACAAACAGGTGCTCCCATTCTTGCTCCGCCGTCTCAAGGAAGAAGTGCTCAACGACCTGCCGCCCAAGATTCTGCAAAACTACTACTGCGATCTCAGCGACCTGCAGAAGAAGCTGTTTGAGGACTTTACCAAGAAGCAAGGCAAGAAGATACAGGCTGAAGCTGGCAGGGATGACAAGGAGGCCAAGCAGCACATCTTCCAGGCTCTGCAGTACATGCGAAAACTGTGCAACTCGCCCGCCATGGTTATGAAGCAGGGAAGCGACGTGTACAACGAGACGCAGAAGATTCTCCAGAAGCAAGGAACGAGCATTGAGGATCCTGTCCATGCCCCCAAGCTCACCGCCCTCAAGGACCTCCTGATTGACTGCGGCATCGGTGACGACAAGGACGAGTCCAACGACCCGCTCTACCAGCCGATCAAGCCGCACCGTGCCCTCATCTTCTGTCAGATGAAGGAAATGCTTGACATGGTTCAGAACAAGGTGCTCAAGGAGATGCTGCCATCTGTGTCCTACCTAAGGCTTGACGGTTCGGTTGAAGCGAACAAGCGACAGGACATTGTCAACAAGTTCAACAGCGACCCCTCGTACGACGTGCTTTTGTTGACCACCAGCGTTGGCGGCCTCGGCTTGAACCTTACGGGTGCCGATACTGTCATCTTCGTGGAGCATGATTGGAACCCGCAAAAGGACCTGCAGGCCATGGACCGCGCTCACCGAATCGGCCAGAAGAAGGTGGTCAACGTCTACCGTCTCATTACTCGCGGCACGTTGGAGGAGAAGATTCTCAGCCTTCAGCGGTTCAAGATTGATGTCGCGTCCACGGTAGTCAACCAGCAGAACGCGGGTTTGGCAACAATGGATACGGATCAAATTCTCGACTTGTTCAACCTGGGCGACTCGGGACCAAGCCTCATATCTGACAAGCCGCAAAACGGCATCGATGGGAGGGAAGAGGATATGGTTGACCTCGAAACGGGAGACGTACTGCGGCAGCCGAGCAAGAAGGCATGGCTGGACGACCTGGGCGAGCTGTGGGATAACAAGCAGTATGAGGAGAGCTTTGACTTGGAAGATTTTATGAAGACTATGGCTTGAACTGGGAAAAGGGGAACTGGCGTCTAGGTTCTCGAGGTTTTCGAGTAAGAAAACCCCGGCTTAAGGGGAAGGTTTCCGGTCTGGAAGACCTGCAGCAGGAAAGGAAACAAGGACTACATACTTGGTCTTTGTGGGCGCGACCGGGTACTACTATACTGCATTCTGTTTTTCTCTTCGTTTTTTTGTTTCCCATTCTCTTTTCAAACACCAAAAAACTGACTCTCAAGGCTGCCCCTTGGCATACAGAGTAAGAAGGTATTCAGGTTAGATCAAGGTACTACCTCCTAGTGGAATGAGCGACGGCGCGACGTGTGTCTTTGTATGAGTAACTGGAAATAAAAAAGGCTTCAGTGAGGAGGGTGCGTTACATGAAGCGAAGAGAATTGAGCGCTTCAGCCCGATTGTGATTGATTCGAACGTATACCTACCTACTAGTAGGTAGTAGATGCATATACCTTGCTGATGATATCTTACCTAGTACTAAGGTATGGAGATCGAGCTTCGCCAAAGCTTCGGCGGACTTCTATCGACAAGGAGTGTGCCCCACCTCGACTCTGTGGTACAATTGGTCTGGTGATGTCAAGCTGGGCAGCTTCCCACTCTCTCCTTCAAGCTCGCATTTCTGTCCATCTGCAGCAACAAACAGGAAGACGACCACAATAGCATCACTCCAACGACTCCATTTCGTACTCGCAGTGTTTCTATCCGCTCCACTGACTGCCATAGCTGAGCTCTCGGAAGCTCCCACAGCTGCCCGCCATGCCGATCGACTACAGCCGATTTGTACGCATCCCCCCCCAAGCCATGGATGGATGCAGTGTCCGCCCCCTCCCCCTGAATTGCGCAGGTTCACTGACCGTGAGATGGAACAAAATAGGATGCAATCGAGGTCAGCGACGACTCGGACATCGAAGTGCACCCCAACGTCGACAAGCGGTCCTTTATCCGCGCGAAGCAGAACCAGATCCATCTCGAGCGCCAGCAGCGCAGGAACCGCATCGCGGCGCTCAAGTATGAGCGCATCATCAACAGCACCCTGCTGGGCCGGATAACGGCTCTGCTCGACTCGCTCAAGGCCGGCGCCTCCGAGGCCGAGACGGGGAACCAGGCCGAGATCGCCTTCAAGGCGGTCATCTCCACCGCCGGGAACCCCCAGGATGACCAGCCGCCGCCGCGACCAGAGGGCGTCTTCAACGACGACCAGCCGCTGCCCACTTACTCCAAGATGCTGATGCAGCTGCTGGACCAGGTGAACAAGACGCTCGACGAGAAGAAGCCCGATGATCGGTACAAGGCCATGATGGAGGAGCTCCAGGTGCACATCGACAAGATCAAGGAGCTGCAGGCCGAGCAGGCAAAGGAGCTGGAGACGCTGGAGAAGGAGGAGGGCAAGAAGATTACGAGCGACAGCATTCACGACGGGTTCAACAGTTCGTACATCAACAAGTCCGGGCCGTCGGAGAAGAAGACGAAGGAGGAAGAGACCAAGGTGGAGCTTCTGAACCCCAACTTTTCTTCCACATCTGGACCGGCAGCATCGTCGTCATCATCATCAGCAGCAGCAGACAAGGTCGCGGTGAACGAGGATGACGAGGTGGAGGCGTCGCCCAAGGCCAAGGAGTTTGCCAAGATTCCCATGACCGACTACTCGGCTAGTCTCAAGTTCCTTGCCCAGAATCCAGAGATCCTGACGGAGCGAGAGACGGACGGGTTGCTGGTGCTCGCGTTCGATGCCGCCCTGGAGCGAAAGGATGACTTGGCTCGCCAGTGTGTTCACCAGGCACTCCTGCTGCAGTACTGCCGTGCCCTGGGCAAGGATGGCGTTGCGCTCTTCTTCAAGCGAATCACGACCAAGGGCCACCAGGCGCAGGACGTCTTCTACAAGGATGTGCAGGACACATACATGAGGATCAAGAACCGGTCGCTCGAGATCATCGCCGAGCGGGCCAAGGAGCCGGCCGAGGGCGTGGAGCAGATCCAGCTGCATGCCATGGAGCCCGGCACCACGATCAACATTACGATACCCCCTGCCGACAGCGACGATCCGGATGTCATGGCGGCCCGGAAGATCTACGACAGCTTCGATCCCGAGATGAAGGATGCGCTCGAGTCTGGAAGCCTGGACGAGGTCAACAAGGTGCTGGGCAAGATGAAGGTGGAGGAGGCGGAGGAGCTTGTGGCCAAGTTTGGCGAGGTAAGTCGAGCACGCTGATGACTTTGTTGTTGTTGCAAGACGAGATGTCATGAATACCCAGCTTACACGTTTGTTCTACCAATAGGCAAACATTCTCAGTCTTGAGGAAGAGCTGATTGATGCGACGACGGAGGAGGGGCAGAAGCAGCTGAAGGCGATGGAGGCTGCGGCAGCTGCGGAGAGGGAGGAGGCCAGGGAGGCTGAGGTGGAGGAGATTGGCGATCCTGAATGATGGTGATGGGTTAACCAGCCAAATTGTCAGCTTGTTGTGTGTTGGGAGAGAAGGGGGGGGGGGGGGGGGGACGAATGGAGGCATGAGATGATATGGGCAAGGAATGATTATGATACCAACTACAGAATGGGAGCTTGTGGCATCAATCGTATTAATTCGCAAACAGCAGAGCCTTGATTGCGGAAGGTTGACTTGTTGTTGTTGTGAGGTGACAATGGCTGCAACCATGTGATGACAATTCAAATGATTCAAGGTGCGTGTGGCTGTGTTCTGTTCAAGTGATGGGCATCCTTAGTATGGCCCGGCTTGAAGATATGTGCTACGCTGGTAGGGGGACGAGATAAACATGAGCCTGGCGGAGATCAATGTCCTGGGGTCGGGGAATATAAAGCTGGGCTTGCATATCGAATTCTCTGTTTGAAGACGGATTCGCTTAGAGTACCTATCACAATTTACTTGTCTTTTTTGCCTAGGTACAACAAGCCCGAGGTAGGAAGTATTGCGAGTACCTACCTTACACATCTAAAACAGTCCCGGCTTGTGGTTCTTCCCACTGCGGCGCCGCTACAAGAGGAGGCTTACATAGGATTCTGGGGATTCGAGGCTGAGCGGTTTGATGGATTGGATGGATTAGAGGGATGGTTGGCTAAGTAGTGAATGGAGCGGGCGAAGAGACGTGGAGACTCCACTGACCGCGCGGCCTTTTCCTGGGGTAGAACGGTGAGATGAAGTGGCTCCGAAGGCAAATTCTGTAGATATTACTAGTGTGTTGTTCTTTGTACTGTATTGATGATGATTTCTTGTCTGTGTTGGTGATGATGGCTTGGTCATGTCTTGTTTGACGTGGCTTGCATGAGATGCGTGGGTGAAGAGATGGATTGCTGAGTACTATTTCTTTTTTCCCTCCGCCGAGGTTTACGTATGTCCTGCCTTCTTGGGAGGGGAAGATGTACGATGATGGATACAAGGCGTGGCTGAGATGGCGATGAGATGGGCAGGATGCGATGGCTCGTATAGGTAAGTTGTTGGCAGTTGTGAAGTTGGAATACGTAGTAGTTCCTCCGGAGTTTGGACATACTGAAAGGAACGCTTTGGGCTTGTATAGCCTGTCAAATACGAGATTGTGGAGGAGGAGGTTCATGGATTGAATCGGCGTTGGACTCGTATGAATTGAATGCCAGCTCAAAAAGCTTATCGCGTACCTAATTTTTTTTTTTTTTATCTTGATTTATTAACAAAAGAAGCAGCGCGAGGATATCAAAAGTGTCATTGTCATGGAAAGGTTGCCTTGAAGAGGGTTAGTGGCGCAGGTTGCCTGCATGTGGGATGAGATATAAATAGGTAGCTGATCTACTAGTAGGTACTCTTCGGTAGTATTAAGGTACCTATCTTGTTGTTTTATCTTGGGCGAGGTGTTTCATTCTTTACTGTGTGGTAATGGGTACCTCTATGTACTCGTAAGTGATTGGATTCCACCGACACAGCCTCTCCTCGTCACACTGATGTTTCGTAACTGGTACAGTATAGACACAGTATAGTACATAGAGTACGGCGAGCCATTTGTAGAGGCCATTTGCTGGGTTGCCTTGCAATAATACCTACCTACCTTGGTTTGTGGCACGTTTTTGGGCGTTGTCGGGGCTTGAAGATGTAAGTGTTACGGAAGAGGTGGTAGGTAATAATGATACAGACTATATCTTCTCTACCTTATTGCTAGGCACCCCATCTCATCATTTCGTCTTTATAGATACAGTACTGTATGGTTCAATATCAACCAAGTAAAGAATCTTCGTCACCTTGCGAAATTGATACTGTATCACCACCAAACAGAGCCGCCTCCATCAGATCTGCAAATGCCGCCCCGTCTTAGCCCAGGGGTCTTTCTCTCTCCGTCTTGTGCAGTTTCAGCGCGTCTCCACTGCTGACGTCTCGAGGCGCAGCTCCCGATAATACTATGTACCTAATACACTGACAAAACTTCCAAGGAAAGACGCAGGGATCCATCCGCTTAGACAGCAAGATTGTCAGTTCAATCTGTTTCGCTTCTTCGTGCTCGATAGGGGGTCCAGCGAACTTCTCTTCTCTCATACACTACACCTTTTCTTCTTCTTCTCCATTTCTCTCACTCTCTTGCAGGATCAATCTTTTCTTTTATATCGTTTTCCTTCTTTCTATTCTGGTCTGGGGATCGTTTATCAATACCTCCTTCGCTTCTTCATAAATGCTTTGCTAGTGTTTCATGGATTGACCTCTTTCGCATCTGTATTTCCCCTTTCGTCGTCTCGTCCCATTCGTGTCTCTCGCTCTTGGATACCTACCAATATCAAAGATCCTGTACATCTTCACTCTCACAACCTCGCAAGGATACATATATACCCAGTCATATCCCTTGCCCCCTTTTCATATCAAACTCCCATACATCGCTCAGACTTGATCGAAAAACTTGGTACAGCCAAGGTAAGTGATGCATGGATCGATCTAAGCGACTCCATCCTCACCACCTTTTACATGAGCATCTGATAGCTGACAAGGGGGGCAATCTAGGGGGGGGTGCAACGCCTGATCAAACCTCATCTCATCCAAGTCATTCAAGGGCAAAGAACCTTCAAGAAAAAAGCCCCAAAGACAAACATGCGCTTCTCGCTGTCCGGCATCTTGGCCGGCGCCCTGGTCGGCATCGCCGGCGTCTCGGCCATGCCCCAGCAAGCCTCACCGGCCGTGGCAGCCTCCTCCTCCTCCGCCTCAACCTCCGTCGTCTCATCACCGGCATCGACCTCGTCATCATCGTCAAACTCGTCGTCGTCGTCGTCGTCGTCCCAGGTCTGCAACAACTCGCCGGTGCTGTGTGACCGCCACTACAGCGACATCACGCACATGGGCGCCCACGACAGCGCCTTTCTGCGCGACGACAGCACGGGCAACTCCATCGCCGGCAACCAGTTCCTCAACGCCACGCTGGCCCTCGACGCCGGCCTGCGGCTGCTGCAGGCGCAGGTGCACCACGAGAACGGCACGCTGCGCCTGTGCCACACGTCGTGCGGCCTGCTCGACGCCGGGCCGCTCGAGAGCTGGCTGGCCCGCATCGCCGACTGGGTCGCCGGCCACCCGTCCGACGTCGTCACCATCCTGCTCGTCAACTCGGACAACGCCGACGCCTCGCAGTTCGCCGCCGCCTACCAGCAGGCCGGCCTCGCCAAGTTCGGCTACGTCCCGCCGAGCGCCACCCAAGAATGGCCCAGCCTGCGGTCCATGATCGCCAACAACACGCGCGTCGTGTCCTTCATCACCAACATCGACGCCTCGTCCGCGAGCCCCTACCTCCTGCCCGAGTTCGACTACGTCTTCGAGACGCCCTTCACCGTCCTCTCGCTCGACGGCTTCAACTGCACCGTCGACCGGCCCTCGGACGCCGGCACCGCCGCCAACGCCTTCTCCCACGGCTTCATGGGGCTCGTCAACCACTTCAAGGACGAGGAGATCACGGCCGGCATCAACATCCCCGACACGGAAAACATTGCCCTCGTCAACAGCGCCGCCACCTCGGACGCGGGGAACCTGGGCCAGCACATCCAGCAGTGCAACGACCAGTGGAACCACCGCCCGACCTTTGTCCTCGTCGACTTCTGGGACAAGGGCGACACGGTCAAGGCCGCCGACGACAGCAACGGCATCAGCCAGGCCAGCGGGAGGACCAACGCCTCGGCCGACAGCAGCGCGAGCGATTCCTCCTCGGCCGACGGGACGAACCAGACGCGCGAGTTTGGCACGGGGGCGCTGATTGCCTTTCTGGCGGCGACGCTGCTGATGATTTAAGGGGGTAGTAATTGTATCTCAATGCGGGAAGAATGTAAGCCTGGATACGAGAGAGGCCGGACCCTGGGGGGAAAAATGAGATATCGGGGCATCTTTGAGGGGACATTCATTTGGCATTCATTTAAGCGAGGCGTTTCCCTTTTTTCCCTTCTTCTTCTTTTGTTTTTCTTCTTCTTTTACGAAAAGGCAATCTAGACTGCATTGTGTTGGGCTTCATTTCTTCCATATAGAGCAAAAAGGAAACAAACCAGTCTCTGTTATTTTGAGGTTATAGATTTCGCTTCAACTAAGCATTGAGATGACGAATGAAAAGTGCCTCTTGCTATATATCGCAATCAAGACTTTGACGGTCAAGAGTTGATGTTCAGGTCGTCTCTTAAACTGTGTCAAACTTGCTACAAATCATAGTCTGAGTTATCACGCACACAGCCTGGCCTGACAAAAGCCGCTAAAAACCAACCATATTCGATAAACGATCCAACCCCTCCATACGTACATACATACATACATGCATCATCCTCACCTCTCAAGCTCAACCTCGTCTCACCACCTCTTCCTCTCAAAGAACACAAAAGCACCACCAACTTTCCCTCGACAAATCCCTTGAATGCTCCGCCTCATCTCCCCCTCACGGCAAATCTACGCTTCCTACCCATTCCGCCGAGCATTCACCACCACCGTCGCAAAGACCATGGACTACGACTCCATTCCGACGCCGGCATCGTGCTATGCTGATTTCTGTCTGATTCCAGTCCGTCATTTTCCCCCTACCAATCTCCCACTCTCTCAAAAGAAGAGAAATCAAAACATACTTATATCGGGGTTTCCTGAATGCTGAGATGCTGGACAGGTCGGCACGGGAAGCGTCTCCGTGGCAGAAGAAGTCGCCCAAGTCCAGCGCGTGCTCAAGGCGAGCGGGCTCAAGTACACGATGCACTCTGCCGGAACGACAGTCGGTAGGTTTTTTTTCTTCTTCTTCTTTTCCTTTTCAGGTGCTCAACAAGGGGCTTGAAAAAAGGAGGGAGGTTCGGGCTGGCTGACGTGCTTGTGTGTGTGCAGAGGGCAGCTGGATCGATGTCATGACGGTAATCGGCAAAGCCCATGCCGCGGTTCACGAGAGGGGCGTTGTCAGGGTTCAGTCGTCCATGAGGGTTGGCACGAGGTGAGTTTCCTTTTTTTGTGTCTTGCGATGCTCCTTCATCTAGTACTACTTTTGATAGTACCTTTGCTGGGCTGACGGCTTTTTTTTTGTCTCTGACTGACACTCTGACAGGACGGACAAGAAGCAGACTGCAGAGGACAAGGTTAAAAGGGTGGAGGATCTGCTGAGCAAAGAGGCAAAATGATGACACGTGAGATAGCCTCATGAATGTGATCAATCGAAGACGCAAAGCAACTGCATCATCATCATCAATGTGCATGGTATCATTAGATTACTAGATACTTTTCCCTTTGCCCTTGGAGTGGAAATCTCATACAACTCAGCCCTTCCCATGCCCAACCATCAGCATGTGAGCAACAAGTCATCGGAAACGATCCCCAGCATCGAAATGTACAGGAAGTTTTCGTACATATTACACCATTTCATACTCGTCCCCCCCCCTCTCTCCCCTTGCCACAAGTAACGCCGCCTTGTCGTGCCATCGTCCAACACTTTCCCGTAACTTAACCTCGCATCGTCATCCGCTTCTGCGACTTGCGCAGCTCCTTCTCCCTCTCCTTCTCGAGATACTTCTTCTGCGCCTTGGCGTCCAGGCCCTTGAGCTCGGCATCTCGCTTGGCCTTCTTGGCCTTTTCCTTCTCGAGCAGGCGCTCCTCGTTCTTCTCCTCCTCAATCGCCTTCTTGATCTGCGCAATCATGGCCTCGCGGGTGGCGCGGACTCGCTTGAGGACCTCGGGGCGGAAGTGGGCGTCCCTGACGAGGGCGTCGGGGATGCGGAGGAAGTGCTCAAACAGGGGCAAGAACTGGTCATACTTGTTGTTGGACGGGAGGCGGTACTTGAGGAACAATCGCTTGCGGGGGGTCGTCTCTTCCAGGCGAGTGGGCTTCTCGACGGGCTGGTCAGAGATGATGATGTAGTCGAACAAGTCGCCCGCCTTGGTGACGGCCTCAATCAGCTCAGGGGTCAGGAAGGTGTCAGTGATCTCGGCGCTCTCGCTCATGATAGTCAGCCACTCGGGCAGCTTGGAGTTGTCCTTGGTAGCGGTCAGAGAGACGTCGTAGCGTTCGTCGCGCAGCCTCTGCATGCTGGACTTGTTGACAATGGCCCAGACAAAGCCGTCGTACGTGCTCTTGCTGTCCTTGGGGCGCGCATCCACACCGCCGGCCGAGGGGGGCAGAGTGAGCTCCTCCTTGCCGTCAAAGGGGTAGATGGTCGCCTCGACAGCCTCCTCGGGGGCGGGGAAGGTGTCGGTGATGAGAGACAATCCGTGCTCGATGTAGTGCAGGAAAGGGTTGAACCTCTTGGCGAGGGTGATCTTGACGTCCATGAACGCAACGTTCTGGCGACCAGTGGCATACGAGGCAAACTCAAAGAGCGACTTCTCCTTGATGAACGAATTGGGGTCAAAGTCGGCATCGAGCGTGGGCACGCCCCGGAAGCCGACGGACGCGAACTCGCGCTTCATGACGGGGGCGTGAGCCTGGATCCAGGCCCTGGCCTTGGCGCGGTTCGCGCGCGTGCCAAAGATGTGCAGCAGGAAGATGACGGAGGCGATGACGAGGATGATGCCCTCGGGCTTGAACTCGGACAGCGAGTGGCGCTCGTGGACGTTGTACCACTTGGTCCAGACGACGTCGCCCGTGGGCTGCGCGGCGGATCCGGTCAGCGTCGCGGCCTGGGGAGCGGCCTCGGGGACGGCATCGGGAGCTCCGGCGAAGTCGGCAAAGTCTGGGGGAGCAAACATAGGGTCAGCCTTGTCTTGTTCATTCTCTGGTGGTGGAGGCTGTCGCCATCATCACAGACAAGTTGTGACGGGGCGAGTTATAGTAGAATCCTCTGACAAGAGAGAGGGGGAAAAGGACAACTTACCAGAGTCTGGCTTGGCGGCAGCAGGCTGCTCCGGCTTTGCGCCTCCAAACATGTTCTTGAGGACGTCGGCCATGGCGGATTGGCGAGATCAATGGCGAGAGGTTGGAGGAGGAGGAGGAGGAAGAAGAAGAAGAAGAGACGAGAGAGGCCAATTGAGCCAACGTGGATTCTTTTGCGGAGGTTCCCCAAGGCTGTTAGAGTGGGGTCCAGCTTTCTCTGCGCTTCCTGCTTTAGGTAGTCTGTCTGGGGAATTTCAAGTTGTTGCTCGATACTGGTCTTTTTCTAGGTCTTGTACTGTAACAGAGAAGAGGCTGGTTGATGCCCGTCCTTCTGAAGCAGCTTTACATCCAATTGGTTCGATCAAATTTGTGATATAATCCATATAGGCAGTTCAATGTCCGCAGTAGTCACTTGAATCTCATTGTGCGTCCCTCAAGGGTCTCTTCGCCCCCCCATGTAGCTCGTCAGAGCTTAGCTTCCCCAACACATGCAGACTACAGATTGTACTACTGGCAGGCGGTACTAATACAGTGTGATTACCAGCATTGTCAACCATTCGTAGCTATCAATTGAGCTACAGCCTTGTTCGTGTGCGTATGTCAACCATTCTTATCATGGGTAGTATGAGCATTGAAGACAAGATCCATCAAATCTGACAGTACCTTACATCAAGGGATTGATTATCAAGCCTCTCTGACTGAGTAGCAAGCCTCTTCAGTACCTAAGAAGCACGATCTACCCCTATAATCAAGACTATACATTTTACTATACAAAAGTCATATTAAGATAAAAAAAAAAGCTGTATATAGGCCAAACCTCAGGTTAGCTGTTAGGGTTAGTTATTAAGGTTAGGGTTAGTGGTTAGAGTTAGGGTTAATGGGTAACATTAGTTATATATGTACTGGGAAAGTAATGTGCGTCTTGAGGCATCCCCGAGTTGGACTAATGGACGATTGGCAGCTTGCACCTTGAGAGGCTTGCTACTCAGTTGGAGAGGCTTGATAATCAATCCCTACATCAACCTTAACCGAGTGTTAGCGCTGCCTCGTGGAAACAAACACATATGACGTTGCACTCCAGCGGTCCATTCCGGGCTGACTAACACCGCCAACAAGACGCTGTTGCCTGGTCAACCACGGACCCGACATCTTCAAATGCCCAACGTGAGCATCCATCACGTTGAACAAGTCAGGATCGCCAAGCAAAGACCCAAACAGCACAAGCTTGTAAATCAAAGATGCGACGCACAACAGCTACCCGGCAATATGGAAAGCAATCCAAAAAGTCCACGGCGGAGAAGATGTTTGCGGAACTGGTTCAAACTCCAGTCCGAGAGCCGCGAGCCAAACAACACCAATATGCACAGGCAGTCGAGGACCCAGTCACGCCCCTGACGAGGAGGATATCAGAGATACAAATCTACGACACCCCTAGGGGACCCATCAAGCCAAAGAGGTTCTCTGAGAAGGACCCGCTGATTGTGGTGGATGAGGCCGAGGTGCCTGATGTCTCTGAGCTCAAGGTGGACGTGGATTCACCCCTTTCGCGAAGGACGAGTGCCATCAAGAATGAGATTCCGAAAAAGAGAATATCGGTCCTGGAAGATGAGGTCACGCTACACCAAAAAGTCAAAGTAGAAGAAACAAAAGCCAAGCCGAGAAAGACCAGGTCAAGGCTCAGCCCGGTAAAGCGCACATCTCCAACAGCGCATGAGTCCCTGCGAGTCCTCACGTGGAGCGATGTCTGTCCTCCCGGAGACCAGATTGTCAAGATTGCCGAGGCCTCATCCGCAGAGGTATACCGCGTCACCAACAAGCGAGGCACGAGCATCATCAAGGCCATTCGACTCCCCTCGCCAATCAAAGCGCTGACCAAGACGCAAGTGGCCGCGGGTCTTGTCGACGAGGAGCCACATTCAGAGAGCGACGTCAACAACGAGCTGCAAATCTCCGAGTGGCTGTCTGATATTCCCGGGTTTGCCGTGTACAAGGAGCGGTATATTGTCCAGGGCAAGACGACGCCGGAGCTTCTCGAAACGCATCAGACGGTCCAGAAGAAGATGAAGAGGGAAGACCCCGGAAGAGCGCAGTATTATCCATCACCGAGTCGGTATCTGGATGATACCAAGTTCTTAGTGGTGGAGCTAGGAGACGCGGGAAAGTCTCTGGAGAACTGGGAGCTGGACAGCGCAGACCAGTTATGGGATATATTTCTATTGGAGACGATAGCGTTGGCGAGGGCTGAAGAGGTTGCCATGTTTGAGGTCAGTACATTTCAACCCCTACTTTTCCAACCACCCAATCCTGTCAATGGCAGTGGTCTAACTCACCACAGCATCGAGACTTGCACGAGGGCAATCTCTGCATCAAACAAGCACGTCCTCCCAGGAAGAGGCCTCCTACAGCAGACGGCTTCTTTGGATACTCGGGCCTGGAAATCACAATTTTGGACTACGGCCTTTCGCGAGCCGAGGACTTGTCCAACGATGATGCCGCGCCCATTGTGTACGACCTAGAGAGAGACCTCAGCCTCTTCACCAGCACCTACAATCCGCAGTGCAAAGTATACCGGCAGATGCGATCCTTTCTGCTTCGGGCTGACAGAGACTGGCTCCCACCAGAAGCCCACCACGTTCCATACGCCAAGGGCATCGACGGGCCGCTTTCTTGGGATGTGTATGCGCCTTACACAAACGTGCTCTGGCTGGCTTACACCTACGAGTACCTGGTGGAGAATTTCCAGGGGACCAAGAGGGAGCTTGCAAAGTTCACCAAGGAGACGGCAGAGCTGTGGAGGTATCTGAACCCAGACGCTCCCAAGAATGTGCCTTCCTTTGGATGCGCGGCCGACGTGGCCTGCTTTGCGTTGGAGGCTGGCTGGATACGGCAAGACGAGCTTTTGGAGGCATCGACTTCGGTGATAGACCACGAGGAGAGCATCATTGTTGCGAAGCAGGATGTTGAGGCGTCGCCGCGGAGGACACGAAGACAGCGCGGGGCTGCATCATGAGAGACCTTTTGCGGGGGACAGGACCAGGAGATGACGATCATGGTGATATATAAGTGTACATAAGACGTCTGGTGTTTTGGGTGCTTTACTGTTGTCTCTTATGGCCATCTGGAAACGGTTCAAGATACTTACGAAGCTAACGACGATGCATTGATTGGAATTCCCGTTGAAATGGGTAGCACACACAAAGACGGCCGCTGGACGCCAGAGACACTTTTACCTAGGTAGACGAAGGGAGATAGATTCACATGCTTCCGGGTCACCTGCCAACTCCCCTCGAAACCGTGACATTCCGTAATAATACTACTACTACCGCACTTTATGGTCACATTCAACACGACACGACTCCTGCACTGACCCGAGACGAGCAGCCCCATCCATGAACGCGCAGGCCCCCGAATGAAATTGAAATGAACAGCAGCACCGCAGCGCGATGGCGGGCTTCTCGAACGGGCTCTTCATCTCCGGCTCTTGGCCTCAAGGGTTGATCCCTGCCACAGCAAGAGAGCATCCATCAGGTGTTGGCCGCAAGTAGATCGGATAGCGGAGGTTAGCGCGGTACCCAGTGTCACACAGCAGTCTGCGCGACAGGACAGGTAGCGGATAGCAGGCGCCATCGCAAGCCGGCCTCGGTTGACCTCTGCTCAGCTGTGTGGAACCCGCGCAGGCCGCTCTGGAGGTGCCGAGGCTCAGACAGCAACAGCTGGGGCCGTTTTTTGGGAGGGAGGGAAAAAAAGGCTGGTCTGCCCACCGCCAGCCACAGTCAATAAGTAGTAATAATAATAATATGACCTGAAGTGCTTGCAGGTCGTCGGCGGTGGACAAAAACACACTCCATGACAGACCAGCGCAGCTGAATCATCACTCTGTTTACCTGCCTACCTACCTTACTTCTATCTCCTACCTACCTACCTCTACCTACCTCTACCTACCTACTACTAGAACCTTTCCTTAGGCCTCCCGCTTCCGTGCTACTTGTAATAGGTACCTACCTACTTACCTGTTATATCTGACATCGCGCCATCATCTTGTTACTTGCTTCGTCTCCTCTCCCTTGCCATCCCTTTTCCTCATTGATCCCGGGCTCGAATTTTTTGTCTTCTAGCGGTGCGCGCATGGCATAGGGATAGAGTAGCCCTTGATTGGCGCTTGCTTCCTCTCCTTGTTCATACCTACCGACCCGGCGGACCTGGCCTGGGCCTCCCAATCCCGACTTGACTGACGCCATCGCCGACTTCCATCATCCTCATCGCCTCTCGCCCGGTCCGTCGCCGTTGATCCGGAAACAGCCTCGCCCTCTCCTCGCCATGGCGTACGGCGGCTCTTATACCGCCTCGTTCAACCCGGCCACGTCGAGCAGCGAGTCCTTTGGCAGCGGCCTCTTGGCCTCGTCCATCTCCTCCCTGTCGTCGTCCGGCTCGAAGCGTATCTCGCCCGTGTCCAAGACGTACCGACAAGCCTCGACCCTGTTCCTGACGCGTCGCCTGCCCGAGGCTCTCAGCACGCTGCGCCCGATCATCACACCGCCCAGCTCGGCCGACGATGGCGAGCCGGTGCCCGTGGCCAAGTCGTCGCGAGGGACCCGGATCAAGGTCTGGAGCCTGTACTTGACGCTGCTGAATGCAATTGTCGAGCTGGAGCCCGAAGAGGGCAAGGAGGCCTTTGGCAATCAGGAGTGGAGGGCGCTGTGCACCAAGGTGCGGGATGGCTCCATCTGGGAGGAAGTGGTCAAGAATGGCTACCACGGCGTCGAGGGTGATGTTGATGCGGACGTGGTGATTAATCTGTGAGTCTCGACCCAATACCCGCCTCTGTGCCAAATTGCACGACTTCAAGCACCGCGACTGACCCAAATGCGCGATGATAGCGCGACGCTGCTGCTTGCGCATGCCCGTGACCAGAGTCTGAATCAGAAGAGGCTGGAAAACTTCCTCGCCTCGTCAAACATTCCCAACCTTGATCTCAACGACTTCACAGCGCCGTCGCGTCGCTACCAGTCTCCCGCTAGAAGAGCCAATGGCGCGAATACCCCGGGAGATCTCAATTCCCGCGTCAAGCTCCTGGAGCTCTATACTCTCCATGTCCTTCCCCAGAACAACGAGTGGGAATATGCTCGCGAATTCATCAACGTCAGCGCCGTGCTCGATGAAGAGCGCAGAGAGGCTTTCTTGCAAGCCCTGCAAAGCCTGCAGGAGGAGCAAGAGGAGCACGAAAAACGAGAACGGGAAGAGCGCCAACGACAGGAGGAACAGCTGCAGCGGGACATTGCCGAGGCGAAGCGGCTCAAGGCTGAGAACGAGGAGAAGGAACGGAAACGGCTCAACGAGGAGCGGCAGATGCGAGAGACCAGCGAGGGCGACTACGGCATCGAACAGACGCCCAGCTTTAGCGGAGTAGGGAGAGCACAGCCGCCGGGATCGCCCCAGAACAACGTTGCGCGCCCTCCACGCCCGACGGGCAAGTCGCGATCCAAGGCCGCGACTACGTCCGGGTCCACCACCATCACGGCCCGGGCTACCATGATCCTGTCGCGGTTCCGAACCCTGTTTGAGAGCCTCGCCAGCTCATTCAAGGGCAACCCGGCCGTAGTCATGAAGCTGCTGGTCTTCACCATGGGCCTGCTCGTCATGCTGGGCCACAAGGCCACGAGACAGCGTCTGGAGCAGATTGTGGGCAAAGCTTGGGCAAAAGTTGCCGCAACAGTGGGTATGGGTACCAAGGTCAGTTACATTTAAAAAGAGCGGACGCGGGCCCCGGGAGACTGTACACCATTGAATTCTTTATAATTATTTTCCTTTGTCTGTAATTCTCTCTGAGCTGCATGGAGATGGAGTTTTTTTTGTTGGATACCTAGCTGGTATTTGGCTGTACTGCAGTCGTCCCAAGTCCTCGCGGACACGATATAATATTATGATGAATACGCCCTTTTGCTCTTGATAGCTCTGTAGATTTAAAGTCATCTTGTAAAGCCTGGTATATCGGGTGGTAGTCTAACAAACTCTTGTCGATACATGTGATGTGTTTGCAAAGCCAGATCCATAATTCAAACAGGCTGCGATGATGCCCCTATTACTCGTCTTCCTAACGCCGAAAACTCCATTCCAGATGTACAGACGCACACATTCTTCAAATATGACATGAAAGGGTTCTTGCGTGCTCCTCCACAACCGCCGTCCTGCCCAGACCCGGGCCACCGCTGTGTTAATAATTCGCTTGCCGATTCGTTTTCTTTTGGTAAAATAACTGCAAAACATGGCAACGTTAGCATCCAAAACACACGCACACACACAATTGGACGTCCTCCCGGAGAACAACGCGACAATATCGCGTAACGAGAGAGAGAGAGAGAGAGAGACCGTAGGGGGAAGAACCAGAGGGGAAAGAAGAAAACGTACGTCTGTCCTTGAACTGCCCAGATTGATAATCTTGGGACACCCGTCGCGATCCTTCTCGAGGCGCGTGCACTCGTAGCAGTAAAAGGCGTCGGAGATGCCCTCGCCGCCGCAGACGACGCACTTGTTCTGGTAGTTGCCGAAGCTGCACTCGTCGCAGATGCGCACGAGCGTCGTGGGGCGGACGTAGGAGTCGCAGACGGGGCATTTGCCGTCGCACTTGTCGCAGAGGCGGCCGATGGCGATGCCGGGCTGCTTGCGGCACATGACGAGGTCGCTGTAGGGAGTGAAGAGAGAGGCTTGGTTAGTATCGTTGTGTTTTGTTTGGCGAATTGGGAGAGAGAGAGAGAGAGAGGGGATAGGAATGGGGATAGCTTACGGATGATGGCGAGACATTGTGGGTGAATGAGAGAAAGAAAAGAGAGGGAGAGGTTTGTTAGGAGATTGCTGTTGTCGCTGTTTGTTGGTGTTGAGGTGAAGAGAAGAAGGGATTTGAAGTTTGATATATCAGAAGAATGTGAAGAGGAAGAAGGCGAAAGAAGAGTTGCGAATAGCGCTACAGATTCCAAAGATCGCCCAGGGACAATCTAGTAACAGCTGCAAGCGTGTGGATTTCTCATCAGCCTTGCAGTGACGTTAATAAGAACTGAAAGGGCAAAAAAGAGAAGAGCTGGAGGCGAAAAAAAGTGATACTAGTACCTACTACGTACAGCAAGAAGCGGCAGCTTATTCACCAATCAACGCGCTAAAGAGGCAGCTTTCCGATGGTGGGGGGAAAAGAGACGCCAATTGAACCAGTCAATTGTTTAGTAGGTCAAGCTTTCTTTTTCCTTTCGCACTCAAGCCTTGAGAACATCTTTTTTGTTTCGTTTTCCGGACAAGAAACACACAGCCTCTCAGCCTTGTCATATCGCTTCGCATCGGGTTTTTGGTCGAGAAGTGTCATTTGTGTTGCTTTTTTAATTGACGAGGTAGCCTGCTTTTGGCGACGACAAATGGCTACGATGGGGGAGACGGAGCCGGAGACGTAAGTGTGGGCTGCCGTTCGTGATCGCAAGCTCGAAGACTGACAGGCAATGTTTGCCTTTTGTCAGGGTTGAGCTGCGAAAGCCGGTTGAAGAGAGCCAAGCGACTCCGGAGAAGGCTCCAGACACGTCCCTCAAGCGGAAAGCCGAAGACGAAGCCCCCGAGGAAGATTCCTCCAAGCGCGTGAAGCACGACGGCGAGAGTGACAATAGGGACGATGATGGCGCACCTCTGGAAAGACAACCTTCGCCTAGTCACGACCACCGCGACGGCAAAGAGCCAGGCGACGATGCTGCGCCTTTGCGACGAGAACCGTCGCCCAGTCATGACCACCGCGACGATACTACATCTTCCCAACGGCAGCCATCGCCCAGCCATGAGCGCCGCGACAGTGAAGAGCCAGGGGACAATGCTGCATCTTCGCAACGACAGCCATCTCCCAACCATGGCCGTCGCGACGACGATGCAAAGGAAGGCGCACCGTCAACCGCCGCGGTAGAGGACCGGCGCAAGCAGGTTATGCAGGAGGAGAAGCGGCGCGGGAAGCGACTGTTTGGCGGCCTTATGAGTACCCTGAGCCAGACTTCTAACACGTCTCAGCAGCAGAAGCGCCGACAGGAGATTGAGCGTCGGCAGCAGGACCGCATGCAGAAGCAAATGGCTGAAGACGACCAGCGGAGAAGCGAGAGGCTGGAGAAGCTGCGCGCCGTGCGCATGGCGGATCAGATTGTGTTTGAAGAACAAGTGGTATGGCGATACGATGGGCACTTTTGATATGAGGAAGGTTGATGATGCTAACTCGGGGATGCTTAGATGAAGAAGAAGCACGAAAAACGACTGGCCATGGCGAGGTTCTTGCGGACCAGAGCAGAGCCTGCAATCGTATGCACCCCTAGGCTTGTTGGCCATCTCTCTCTATTGGATGACATACGCTAACGCTGGCCATGTGCAGTTCTATCTTCCATGGAGAACAACAGCCGCCCAAAAGGACACCATCGAAGACCAGATGCAACAGGCGAAAATCGCCAACGACAAGGAGGCAGAGCAGTTCAAGGCCCGAAGGCAGCGGCATATTGAGCGGTATGGTCCCCCAACGAGGCAACGAAGCGTGACCCCTGATGAACCCGCTGCCGCGAGAGCGCCCGAGGGCGAGAGTCCGCCCCAAAGCCCTCGCCACGGCAGCGCGGACAAGCCACAGGTACAGGAGCGGAGAGCGTCCTCCGACGGGCACAAGGGACACCATGACGAGCTTGGTGGCGACCTGGAGGAGGCAGAGGAGGACATGGTGATTTACTGACTTACCCCATCGATGATTTCCCCCAGGTCTCCCTTGCGCTGCTGCTGGAGGCCCCTTTGTGATACCTTTTTTTCCTTGTTCTTCTTTCCCCATGTGATTACCGAATTACAGGTTTGTTCAGCTACACTACGGTGTCGTTGTAGTTCTGCTGTCCTGGAGGCTGCAGACATGTCGTATAGTCAAGAGACATTCGAGAGACGGGCACTGCTACGTGTATAACTGGGGGCGTCGACATTGTCACCAATTTACGGCTATGGCTATGTAGAGCAGACATTGTCACCATGACTAGCAACCTAGCAGCCAAGAGTTTTTGTGAGATGCGTGGAACACAGAAAAAGAAGCATATGTCGACGGGCCAATGAATGTAGTGGAGAGGCTAGTATCAATACCATTAACTCAGGTTTCCAGATGCAGCCCTCTATATCCCGTACAGTAGCTCCGGCAGATCATTCAATGATCAACGGCGACAAATATTGCTGCATTTTGATACAACAAGTGTCCATGCATAGGTAGGTAGTAGGTACCCACGGTCAGGTCTAAACGAAGCTGATACATGTCATAGCTTCCAAACTTGGGATAGATTAGGTACCTACTGATACTTCGCATGCCCCATTCATGTCTCTTCCGAAAGACGCAGACATGTCGACCAAGAGCAGCCTCGGCACTTGTCCAAACCCCTGCTCTGATACCCACGGACGGGGGGGTTTGAGGTAAAACTCCGTAGTCGTACTACTACTAGGGGGGTCTCAAAAACGACCGCGTTTCCCATCCTAGCCCCACTAGGACGGGGGGCACGTTGATTTGCAAAAGGGTCGTTGATTCGCAAAATACTTCAGTCTTGGTGTGCATGCCATATAAATTAAAGTACCGATTTCCAAAACCATTATCTCTGCTCTAAAAAAAGCTTTTTCACTTAAATCCAGCATCGCCTTGCAATAAGGAGCAGCCTGGTAGTCTTTCTACTCTAGAAATCGCAAGATTGGTGGTTGTTAAGGTACATCATATTGTATGGCATACACACTATAAGTGGTGTATCTTTTTTTTGCGAATCAACGGTCCTTTTGCAACTCAACGACCCCCCCGTGATAGTCCCACTATCACGGGGAATGCGGTCGCTTTTGAGACCCCCCTAGTACAGGTAGGTAACTACCTACCAAGTCCGCTACTAATACTTGTTCGGTGAAGACCGCCGGCCGAGGCACGGAGTGGGGGGGTTTTTTTCCTCGACGCTGTGGATGTCACTGAATTGTCACACATATATAGGTATATATGACGGCTCTCGGTGTGTGGTAATTGCCTGCGTCGTTGTGTAACTGTGGCATTCATTGAGTCTACGAGGTACATTGCATAGTGTTGGCTCTCTGCTGATTGAAGGAGTATAAGAAGAGGCTTGAGCCAGACTTGAAGCAGCTTTCATGTTTCTTTTGTGATACGGAGCCCCTCACTGTTCCTTGAACCAAAGGCAAGTCTTTCTGTCTCTCTCAGTCTCTCTCAGTTTCTCTCTCTCTCTCACTGCATACAAGATGTAATGAAGTACACAATTTAGACGGGAGCTCGATCTTCTCAACTGAATACCTTTCTAACAAGACTTCCACCACGCAGCACTGGTCGCCCCTTCTCCACAACCAGTCAATCGTCCGCAAAAGAAAAAGAAAGAAAAAACATGGACACCAGCAAGCTCAAGCCAAACGACCCCCGGGTCAAGTACGAAACCAAGCAGATCCGCGGCAAGACATACTCGTACATCCTCGGCGAGCCGCAAGGCCCCAAGCTCGAGACGGTCGTCCTGGTCCACGGCTGGCCCGACATGGCCTTTGGCTGGCGCCACCAGATCCCCTACCTCATGTCGCTGGGCTTCCAGGTCGTGGCCCCCAACATGCTGGGCTACGCGGGCACCGACGCGCCGCGCGACCTCTCGCAGTTCACGCTCAAGAGCGTCTCCGCCGACATCGCCGAGCTGGCGCGCTCCTTTGTCGGCCAGGATGGCCAGATCGTGCTCGGCGGCCACGACTGGGGCGGCGCCGTCGTCTGGCGCACGGCCTACTACCACCCGGAGCTCGTCAAGGCCGTCTTCTCCGTGTGCACGCCCCTGCACCCGCTGAGCGCCGAGTACAAGCCGCTCGAGGACATTGTCGCCGCCGGCCACATGCTCAACTTCAAGTACCAGCTGCAGCTCAAGGGCCCGGACGTCGAGGCCCGGATCCAGGGCAAGGACATGCTGCGGCGCTTCTTCCGGGCCATGTTTGGCGGGAGGGGCCCCAACGGCGAGGCGGGCTTCAGCACGAGCGACGGCGTTCACTTTGATGTCCTTGACAAGATTGGCGCGCCGCCGCTGCTGGACGAGCAAGAGCTGGAGTACTATGTCGAGCAGTATGCGCTGCAGGAGGCGCCTGAGCTGCGTGGCCCGCTCAACTGGTATCGCACGAGGGAGCTCAATGCAAAGGACGAGATGGACCGCGCCAAGAACGGGCCGCCGCTGAGGTTTGAGATGCCGGCGCTGTTTGTTGCGGCGAGCAAGGACAATGCTTTGCCGCCGGCCATGTCCAAGGGCATGGACGCTTTCTACAAGGACCTTACCAGGGCCGAGGTGGATGCTACGCATTGGGCTTTGACGCAGGCTGGGGATGAGGTCAATCGGGTGATTGGAGAGTGGTTGAACAAGGCGCTCAATGGTGCGACCAAGGCTGCGTTGTAGAAATCGAGGAGAATATTCAAATGATCATGAATTGGGCTAACATAAGGAAACCCCCGACTTGCTTGGATCTCAGCATTTGCTAGACATCTGGTAGCAGCTTGCTGTAACTCCCTTTTGTACATGTTGAGCTATGACCGTATACCCCTGAATATAGTTCCCGTAGAATCTAGTTGTGCCGTCCATATCGTTTCGAGGTTGACAGGTATCAAGTAAACATTTCTTCGTGACTCTGCCTCCAACATGTCTCCAAGGTGTTGGGGATCGTGTGCCGCGTTTCTTGGGCGTTGCTGGTGTTGAACAAACATGCTGTTGCTTTGTGGCCACACGCACATACACACACACGCCGCTTTGGGGAGATTCCGTTCACTGCTTCGCGCCCCTTCTGCTTTAGTACCTTCAAGAGTCCATTAATTGATTCATTCCTGGCGAGTCATTTCACTTCAGAGTGTTTTTGTAAGCATCAACAGTCGGTGCCTTGGAGGTGGACTTTTTGTTTGGCTTTCCACACATGGGACATGCTGTGTGCTAATGTGAGCTTGGGTGTTCATGTGAAGGGGGAAAAGGCGGAGAGACTCACAGTCCGTCTGGTAGGCACACTTCTGGCAATAGGAATGGCCTTGAGTGATTTTGGTTTTGCACTTTGAGCACGAACTATTCCCACTGTCAGTCAAAAGCGCAATGCACATATAGAGAATGCGATTGCGTAGGTAGGATGGTGCACATACCTGGAGTACTGTGCGTATGGATTCTTTGCTGCTTTTGACAGCAGCTTGCTCTGGAGGCCCGTTAGCGAGCATTATCGAGGAATGACGGGAAGCAGTCTTCGTTTACCTTTGACACTCCGGTGTTGCCCAGAGTTGCTGATTTGGAGCTGCCTGCCTTTGCGCTGGCTGGCGAGCCGTAGTACATTTCGCTCTTCTTCTTGACCTCTGGAGTCGCAAGCTTGGTGCTCTTGGTGAGCTTCAGACACTTGCTGCACACCATCGCGGCGTCTGAATGGGGGGTTTATCTGATTGAGTCGGGTTGAGTATCGATGGATTTGATAAGGAATATGTCAGATAGCGTTCGATACTATTGTCCGTGGTTCAGCTTGATGGCCGCATGCTCGACTTTCTGGTGTTTGATGGGTGAATCGCAGTGGCAAGGCTGACATCAACGGCAACGCGAAACCCGGCACTCCGTACGGCTTCCGCGGCCATACTGTTCCGAATTCCCAACGACCAGCTGCAAAGTATCCTCAACCGTGCTCTGGCATTCGGCAAGGTACCATGCTCGCACAATCTCGCTGGTGGGGGACTTTGTCGCAAAAGGGACAACGCTCAGGGGGACCCGCCAAACAGGCCTCTCAGCAGTGGAGCAGCAGCAGCACATCAGTGCAGTTCAAGGCGAGGTCCAGCCTGTGGCATCCCCCCAAGCGATCCATGGATGCGCTAGAGCACTTGCAGAGAGAGCGCTGGAGCCCTTGGACGACGTTGACCCCGGACGGCCCCCTTTCAGGCCACTTGGCGCAAGAGAGCTTCCAGGTCATCAAGGGTTCAAGACGGGCTCGTATGCATCAGATCAAATCAAACAGCATCCCAGGGGAGCGCTGGAGAACTTGAGCTTACAGGTGTTTGGCATTGATCCGTGCTCCCAGTCTATAATTATTACCCTACGGGGGACCTCTCGGGTATCAGCGCCTTGGTCGCAGAACTGCACTGAGCTTTCGTGCCCCCAAGATTCAAATCGTCGGGTCCAACTGCGCCTCTGTTTCACTGCCGACAGTGCTGACGTACCAAACGCCTGAGCCTCGACAGCGTCCCGCTACGGAGTGGGAGCGATTTAGCGGCAGCTCGCCGAAACGAGGCTGTGCAGGGACGGGAACCTTCATTGGATTGGAACACCTTCTCGAACGCTTTTTTTTAGCGGAACAGCATCAGACTCTACAGCGAGCGGCCCTGCCCTATCGATATCGCGGGACCAGACCAGGTGTCGACCCCGATCGTTCTCGAGCTGCTGTGCGAGTCCGTCTCCTGCATACCTAACCTAAGGAACCTCTACCTATAGACATCCAATACATTCGCATCCACCCGCGAGCGGCTGCGGTTTCACATTCCAGCCCTCCCACGGACGCAGCGAAACAGCCGCGAAACATCCAAAAACACCACAACACACACAGCTTCTCGGGCTGGCCCACCCTCATCGAAGCCCGCATGCGTTGCCCCTCCGCCTCAGCGACCGCCTAACCACTGCTCGTCCTCCGGCATGGCTGGACGACATCCCATAGGAGGCCATGGCGGGCCCTCGACCACCGACGACCTGCTGCTCGACCTGGACAATGAGCAGCCCGTCTACAACGCCGGCCAGCGGTCGGCCCTCAATGACGACGACCTGGCGCGGGCCTACGAGCACGACCACGACAACGACCCCCAGAGCCGCCCGTCGGTGTCGTACGACGACTTTGTCGGCGCCGAGCCGTCATATCCCCCAGCAGGGCGCCCCGGCCTGGCGCAGGCAGCGCAGCCGTCGGGGCAGTCGTCGGGCCCGTACCACGCTCAGCAGTTCAGCCAGTCGTCGGACCTCGACAACTTCCCGCGCTACGCCGACGACTTCGACGACGACGACATGTACTACCAGCACGGCGGCGCGGCGGGCGCGGGGCCGGCGTCGGCTGGCAGGGACAATGCGAGGGCCCGCAACAGCGTGCTGTCGCTGGGAGGCGGCCTCTTTGGCAAGCTGAAGCACCGCCTGGGCATGGGCCAGGGCTACTCCGAGATGGACCTCCCCTTGACGGAGCCGGGCCACGATCGAGGCGGCCCCATAGCGGGCTCGTCGCAGCCGCCGGACCAGCAGCCCGCGGGCAAGAAGGCGGGCAACTTCAAGTTTGGCTTTGGCCGCGGCAAGCCCGATCCCGCGTCCCTGGGCCCGAGAATCATCCACCTCAACAACCCGCCCGCCAACGCGGCCAACAAGTACGTCGGCAACCACATCTCGACGGCAAAGTACAACGTCGCCACGTTCCTCCCCAAGTTCCTCTTTGAGCAGTTCTCCAAGGTCGCCAACATCTTCTTCCTCTTCACGGCCGCGTTGCAGCAGATCCCCGGACTGTCGCCCACCAACAAGTACACCACAATCGGACCCCTGGCTGTTGTGCTCCTGGTTTCTGCTGGCAAGGAATTGGTGGAGGATTACCGGAGAAGAGTGGCGGACAATGCCCTCAACACATCCAAGGCGCGAGTCCTGCGCGGCTCGACGTTTACGGAAACGAAATGGAACACCGTGGCCGTGGGCGACGTGGTTAGGGTCGAGTCCGAGGAGCCGTTCCCCGCCGATCTGGTGCTTCTGGCAAGTTCCGAGCCCGAGGGTCTCTGTTATATCGAAACGGCGAACCTGGATGGCGAGACCAACTTGAAGATCAAGCAGGCCCTCCCCGAGACGTCGACGCTGGTGTCCCCCAGCGAAGTCAGCCGGCTGGGAGGTCGCATCAAGTCGGAGCAGCCCAACAGCAGTCTGTACACGTACGAAGCGACGCTGATCATGCAAGCCGGAGGAGGAGAAAAGGAGCTGGCACTGAACCCTGAGCAGCTGCTTCTCCGAGGTGCCACTCTGAGAAACACTCCCTGGATCCACGGCATCGTCGTCTTCACCGGCCACGAGACCAAGCTGATGCGAAACGCGACCGCGACGCCGATCAAGCGGACCAAGGTCGAGAGGCAGCTCAACTGGCTCGTGCTCATGCTGGTCGGCATGCTGCTGGTGCTCAGCGTCATCAGTACCATTGGAGACTTGGTGATGCGAGGCGCCACCGGCGATTCGCTTTCGTATCTCTACCTGGACAAGATCGACAGCGCTGGCGTTGCGGCCTCGACGTTCTTCAAGGACATGGTCACGTACTGGGTGCTCTTCTCCGCGCTGGTCCCCATCTCCCTCTTTGTCACGGTGGAATTGGTCAAGTATTGGCACGGCATCCTCATCAACGACGACCTCGACATGTACTACGACAAGACGGATACGCCGGCCACTTGCCGAACGTCGAGTCTGGTCGAGGAGCTTGGCATGGTCGAGTACGTGTTCTCTGACAAGACTGGCACGCTCACTTGCAACATGATGGAGTTCAAGCAGTGCTCGATTGGCGGCATCATGTATGCCGAAGAGGTTCCCGAGGACCGCCGAGCGAGCGGCGCCGACGACGAAGAGACGGCTATTTACGACTTCAAGGCGCTCCAGGCCAACCTGACCCAAGGCCATCCGACCGCGGGCATGATTGATCATTTCCTTTCGCTGCTCGCAACCTGCCACACGGTCATCCCCGAGATGGATGAAAAGGGTCAGATCAAGTACCAAGCGGCCTCTCCCGACGAAGGTGCCCTGGTGGCCGGAGCGGTTACCATGGGATACAAGTTTACTGCACGAAAGCCAAAGTCGGTCATTATAGAAGCCAACGGGCGAGAGATGGAATACGAGCTGCTGGCCGTCTGCGAATTCAACTCGACGCGCAAGCGAATGTCTGCCATCTTCCGCTGCCCGGACGGAAAGATTCGAGTCTACTGCAAAGGTGCCGACACCGTCATTCTTGAGCGGCTCAACGATCAGAACCCCCACGTCGAAATCACCCTGCGGCACCTGGAGGAGTACGCCTCGGAGGGGCTGCGGACGCTCTGCTTGGCCATGCGCGAGGTGCCCGAACAGGAGTACCGCGAATGGCGCCAGATCTTTGACACGGCGGCGACGACGGTGGGCGGCAACCGAGCCGATGAGCTGGACAAGGCTGCCGAAATCATTGAACACGACTTTTACCTCCTGGGAGCTACTGCCATTGAGGACCGCCTGCAAGACGGCGTTCCGGAGACGATCCACACGCTGCAGCAAGCCAACATCAAGGTCTGGGTTCTGACAGGAGACCGACAGGAAACGGCCATCAACATTGGCATGAGTTGCAAGCTCCTGAGCGAGGACATGATGCTCTTGATTGTCAACGAAGAGTCGTCGGCCGCAACTCGTGATAACATCCAAAAGAAGCTCGATGCCATCAGGACGCAAGGCGACGGTACCATTGAGATGGAGTCCCTGGCGCTCGTCATTGACGGCAAGTCCCTGACATATGCGCTCGAGAAGGACATGGAGAAGCTTTTCCTCGATCTCGCCATCATGTGCAAGGCCGTCATCTGCTGCCGTGTGTCCCCCCTGCAAAAGGCCCTGGTCGTCAAGCTCGTCAAGAAGTACCAGAAGCAGTCGATTCTCCTCGCCATTGGCGACGGGGCCAACGACGTCTCCATGATCCAGGCGGCGCACATTGGCGTCGGCATCAGCGGTGTTGAAGGTCTGCAGGCCGCTCGGAGCGCCGACGTGGCCATTGCCCAGTTCAGGTACCTCCGGAAGCTGCTGCTTGTCCACGGCGCGTGGAGTTACCAGCGCGTGAGCAAGACGATTCTGTTTTCGTTCTACAAGAACATTGCCCTGTATCTGACGCAGTTCTGGTACACGTTCCAAAACGTCTTCTCCGGCCAGGTCATTTACGAGTCGTGGACGTTGTCCTTCTACAACGTCTTCTACACCGTTCTTCCGCCGCTGGCCATTGGCATTCTGGACCAGTTCATCTCTGCGCGCCTGCTCGATCGCTACCCCCAGCTGTACATGATGGGCCAGCAGAATTCCGCCTTCAAGCTCAAGGTCTTTGCGCAGTGGATCGCCAACGCCATCTACCACTCCCTCCTCCTCTACGTCTTTGCCGAGCTCATCTGGTACGGCGACGTGATTGACGGCCAGGGGCAGACCGACGGCCACTGGGTGTGGGGAACCGCCCTGTACGGCTCCGTCCTGCTCACCGTGCTGGGCAAGGCGGCCTTGGTGACCAACAACTGGACCAAGTACCATGTCATGGCCATCCCGGGCAGCATGGTCATCTGGTGGGTGTTCATCGCCGTGTACGGCACTGTGGCGCCCAAGGTCAAGATTTCCCCCGAGTACTTTGGCGTCATCCCCAAGCTGTACAGCAGCCCCGTCTTCTGGCTGCAGATATTCGTCCTTGCCCTGCTGTGTCTGTCGCGCGATATTGCTTGGAAGTACGCCAAGCGCATGTACTGGCCGCAGACGTACCACCACATTCAGGAGATTCAAAAATACAACATTCAGGACTACCGGCCTAGGTATGTACACGTGCCCAGCACAGCCCCTCTCCTCCCCTCTTCTTGCCCCAGGAATCCATCTGCGGTTTGAATAGAGGCATGTCTATATATGAGAGAGAGCCACGCGCTAACGTGCCATGACAGGATGGAGCAATTCCAGAAAGCCATCCGCAAGGTTCGGCAGGTGCAGCGTATGCGCAAGCAGCGTGGCTATGCCTTTTCGCAGGCCGACGAGAGCCAGACGCGCGTGCTTCAGGCATACGACACGACCAAGCACCGAGGCCGATATGGAGAAATGGCCAGCTCACGACCTATAGACGGGATATAAAAAAAGCAAAGAAAAAATTGGGGGGAGGAAAGAGCAACAGTTTTGTGTTTTAGGGGTGGGCTGTAATGATTTTTATCTGCCATCACGTCTCATGTCATCAAGAGAGAGAGAAAAAAACAGAGGAGGGTGGTGTTACTCCTTGGGGGGGTGAAAGGACGAGGAGGAGAGGGCAAGCGGCACACAAGGGAGGTGCGTCCCTTTTGTCCTCGTTATGCCGATTCGGAAGCCAGACGAGGGCTATGATGGTTGATTTTGTTTGCTGTTTGCGGTTTTTCTGAAACTAGCTATTATGCCATATATGATGTCTTTGTCTGGGGTGTCTCTTGTTGGGTGTTCTTTTCTTGACATTTATTATCATGGCTTGTTACTGAAGGGGATGTGAGATTTCTAGGTAGAAGGATAGGAAGGCGGTTGAATGGAAATTTACATTGACATGAGATGCTTGGTTATTTGAAGTGAGGAGAGGTAAGAGTGATGGTAGTGTTGGTATATGGATGATGTTGCACGGTGCGATGCATTGAGCTTGAAATGAAACAGCCGTGGAGATTCGATGTTCACTGAGAAGAGTTGGCTTGTATACTGGTTGGGTATAGATATCTCGTATGTCTTGTGCCTCATTCGCACGATGTCTACCGTACGATGAAGAGGAAGCTTCCGCCTGCCGGACGAGCTTCCCATGCCGGAGAGTAACTCTCTCTCTCTAATCTATAATAGGTACTTTGCCTTGGGCCTTACGGTGGCACCGTTTGAAGCTTATATCAAGTCACTGACAAAAGTGTGTAAAGGATGGATAAATCTCCATAAACAGATTGTTTCGAACGGACCTTGGGTGAATATCCCGTAGCAGATGGGACAATACGACACTAGATTATTGACAAAGAGTTTCGGAGACACAATGTCACACAGGACAACAACAGACTCCTCCCCCACGGATAAGATAGATTAGAGTGGCGGAGATCCGGAGATGCACCCTTCTGCATGACTTGACGAGAAGCGCAAGAGTCTCTACCAGGTATTTCTGTAAGGGGACTCGTCGTACGAGTTTGAACAGCAAATACCTAAGCAAGAGAGGAGTATGAACTTGCACAGCATTATATGTGCGACTACCTAGATACGCTGTGTCACATGTTTATATGCCGCGATGCTGTTGTATCGGCATCTGTTGCATTGTATACCTAATTAGTTGTCTTGATGTCCTTAATACTATCTTCTAAAGTACTAGGTAGTTGATACTATGAATAGTCTACCTACTTTATATCGCACGCAAGGGGCGAAGACAATGCGTGGCGTTGCATGAGGCAGTCTCGCGCACCACGACACGACACAAAGAGCACTTTATAGGTAGGTATGTACCTAGTTTTTTGGCTCCTGTTCATCCCGAGGCAGGTGCACTCTAGATAGAAGAGGACTAGGCAGTGCTGCGTTTCCATGGCTTCAGATAGGTACCTATCTACCTACCTACCAACCAAGGTGTTACCTTATTTTGTGTATGACAGCTTTTACCTTAGGTAATGAGCAGCACTTCAAGACGGACTCTTTAGAAGAAATCAGAATTCGAGAGCCAGCTCAACAACGGCAAGAGTGATACTGGTATTTGTCATCTGCCTACATTGCTGGATGTGTTAAATCAGGCAAACCTGACACAATATCGGTACACAGTCTCAATGCCTGATGCAAAGCCAACTGATATCACATCCGATTCTACCTAAAAGCAGCATCATGTACGAGACGGTATTCTTGACCTGCATCAAGCTTTCGCCCCCCCCCCCCCCATATGCGTACGTCCCGTATCACAGGCATCAAAATCCCACCGATATCCCATGCAGGTCCCCCTTCCATCTCTCACAGCTTCCCCCCCTCTGTAACACCACATGATGTACAGTACAAGCCACGCTGCACCGCAGCTCTCCTACATAATGATACTACTACTAACACCACCACATACATACAGACAGACCCCAATTTCCCCTTACATATCCCCCTCCCCTCTTCACACCAAAAACGGAAAGAAAAAAAAATAAGAGGAGAGAGAGATAAGGTCCGTATCATTGGTATGAGAGATAACAGCTCTGTAGCAAAAGATTGACATCTTGCATGCTTATCAGCTGGTTCTCTTGATTCTGAATCCTCAGGCCAGAAGACGCGCCGACATCGCTGATGTACTCGAGACGATTGCAACCCAAACCAATCACATCCATCACACTTGTGCAGAATGCTGCCTTTCAGCGAAAATTTAACCATGTTCAATAACATTATCCTTTATTCATTGATTTCTCAATTGCTTCCTTGCCATCTATGGGTTCTGTTCGCGTCCCCAGAGATGCATCGCCGTCTTTTGATAAAGTATATACATAAGTTGACTCCCATGTACAGTTGCCCACCAAACATCAAATTACCATCCAAGTACCCATATGCCGTGCTTTATATCTAACCCAGTGGACGTGTAATAATCTTGTGCCAAGAGGCCATAACAGTCTTTGTGAAGTACTAAGAGAAACAGGAGGAAAAGGGAAGTGAAGAAAAGGAAAAGAAAAAGAATCCACAAGTCGAGTTCGACAAGATGTCGAAGCGAGGCGACGTAACGCTCCGGGGTCAGGATTGGTGGATTGCAGTCACACTATGCGGTGCATGGTGACAAGCAAGAGCGGCTGATAAGAGAAGCTCGAGTTGGGATGTTGAAAAAGCGCCGTGAGGGGCCCAGATTGAAGCCGTCCAAAGTGGGAAAGGATCCGAAATCCCCTCGCTGCCGGACCACTAATGACAGTGATCGAACAGTGAAAACAGTTGAAAACATCAAAACTTTTGTTGTGCGTAAGTGTGTATCTCCCTGAAGAACGCCAAAGGGAAAAAAAAAGAAAGGAAGAATAGAAGAATAACAGTTGTGCGGAGTGTGGTGCGAATGGGCTCGGCAACAGCAAAGGAGCCGGACGAGACCAGGACCTCAAGTCGGTTGGAGGTGGCACAACAGCGTGCTGCCAGTCGACGGCGAGACCCTTGCCGCTGGGCATCCGCACCCCTGTAACCCCGCAGTCCGAATCAATGCGCCGTTTGGCCAGAATTCTGGCAAAATGCGGAGGCGCGGTGTGCGTCGGAGGTCCCATCACGACATCTGCACGCGCCAGTCCTTGTTCGTCTGCGTCTTATTGCCTGGCCACCCCCACAGCGGTGGCCGACGCTCCCAGGCCAGTCTGGTGATAGGCCGCTGCGAGCCCAGCTGCTGCTAGCCGGCGTGCCGTGCGCAAGGGGGGGGAAAGGGGCCGCTAGAGACGCTCGAGGCGGATGGGACTGCAGCCAACCGCTTCGTCCCATCTCAGGGCCTCAAACAATTAACCCCCCCGCCAGCACACCCACCTGGCTGCGTCCGAAATCACCGAGTCAGCATGGGGATGACAAGCTCGACGCTCTTTGGCCGCGAGCTGCCGCCTGGGGTCCTCGAGGGCAGCGGCCGGTCCATGGCCCCAGACCCTGCCTCGTGCGAGTAGGTGCCCCCGTAGGCCAGGTCGAGGGTGCTCGGGTGGCTGTACAGAAGGCTGGCCGATGGTCGCGTGTACGAGTTGTTGGGGCTGGTAGCTGAGCTGCGGCTGAAGGGCCAGATGCCACTCCCCGACGGCGACGGGGGGCTGGGTGGCCTCACGTTGAGGGATCGCAGGGCAGACATGGCCGAGGTGTGGTAGTTGAGCGCGGTGTCTGGTGAAGCCGGCGGAGAGTTGGTGAAGTGCATCGAGCTGGGCCGTGAGGGCGAGGCCCGTGGCACAATGTCTCGCGGCTCGGACCCGGCCAAGGACTCGGTCAGGATGCGGCGCTGGTTGACGTAGACAGAGGAGTAATAGCTGCGAACCGACTTGGCCTGCGCGGACGAGTCTTGGTCTACCCGGCGGCATCTACACACATGTGTGTTAGTGGACGTGATCAACCCAGCTCCTCCAAGGTTCGTCGTCAAGAAGAGAAACATACGCATCGGAGCAGTACAGAACCAGCTCGTCGTGGGTGTGGAATTCCTTTTCGCAAATCATGCTGCAGGAACACAAAAGGTCAGTTACATGGCCTCAGCAGCGTCACAAACAACAGGAGTGGCTTCCATACCAGTACTGAGGGAAGCTCTCTCGCTCGTCGTTGTCCCAAATCTCCGTGTCGGTCTCGCGACCACCTCGCCCCAACTTCTGGGCGGCGGACGGAGTGTGTCGTCGAGTCATGGTTGGTCGCTTGTACTGAGCGGGTGTTGCGGTCACTGCCTTTCGCACGTCTGTTGTCGATGCGGTGGCAGTGTAAGGGCCGGACTTGCGTCGCTGGTGAGGCATTTGGAATGCAGATAGAAGAGGAGCAAGGGAAAAAGTGCGTGGGCGAACTCGAGGTGTTATCCTGGCAGCTCGGAGAGCGTGGGGGAAAACTACCAGGACCGTCCAAGGCGTGAGACGACCAAAATCAGGGAAGCCAGACAGAACGCTGTGCTGGCTTTATCTCCGGCAGGCAGCGCAGCCAAATCAGGCGGGTGTATGCGACACGTCGTATTGGAGAGTGCGCGAGATTAATAAGAGAGTGACGCTTTGCTCGACAGGCGTGACTTGGGCTGAAGAATGACGGGAGGTCACACCGGCGTAGAGAGGGTGAAGATTGATCGACAGGACCCGGAAGATGGAAGGATGCTGCAGATCGATTCGTCGGGCAGATTTGCTGTTATCCACTCTTGGTGTTCAGTTGACAGGAGCAGAGCGTCGACTGCTGAGTAGCTTAAAAGGGCCAAATATAGCAGTGGTATCGACGGTCAGATGATAAGCACCGCAGAGGGTGAGATGAGGTGGATGGGAGGGCGTTTGGTGTAAGTGGTGGCACGGGATGAAGGTCTAGTGCTGGGTTGACCGGAGGCTGAGCTGGACTGTGATGTGTCGTCGATAATGGGGTGGTGGTGTAAGGCGTATTCGCAGATTGATGGAGGAAGGGAAAAGAACGGATGAGGAAGTAGATTTGAACGAGAGTGAGAGGAGGAAGAGGAGGAGGAAGAGGTCGGAAAAGACTGGCGTGTGAGACGCTTTTGTTGTCGTGCTTCTGCTTCTCCGTATTTGTGCAGGCTGTAAGAGGTACTTGTATAATATGCAATCTGATGGCAGCCGAAAGCGGAGACTCGCAGTTCACTGCTTGGTGACAAAGTTTCCAGCAGGGCGATCGGCGCGGACGGGAGTAACTTTGCGTCCAGGGCGGGTGCCAGCAGCAGCAGCAGGTACCGATGGTGACACACTGTCGACGCCGGGCTCCACAATGTCGCGATAGTGGTACTTTGGCCCTCGACTCGGACTTTGCTTGGGGGGGGCAGGCAGCGATGACTCTTTTGTTTTTGTGGGCTCTCTTGTCTCCTTTTTTCTTTCTTGCGTTAAGCTTCTTTTTGTGAATGCTATTTTTTTTTCTTCTCCTTTATTCCGCTTTAATATATTTTCCCCTTCAGAAACAGAAAGAAGCTTTCCAATGTTTCAAAATAAAACGTAAATTGTGGAACACAGTCTGGCAGGCTCTTGTCGAAGTCGGGCGTGGTGCGAATCGCTCGGATGAAGCCTCGGTGGTAGGGCTGGACTCGTTCGGGCGGATGTACTACCCAGTACTCGTGTGGAGGTACCTGTAAGACGGGATCGCGCCGGAGAGGTACTTGTGTGCACAGGTGGGAGCGGTCGCAAGGCCGTAGCGTTTATTGAGTTGCTGACGTGCTTATGGGCCAAGATTCGTACAGTATTAGAAGCTGGAGCACGAATAATACCCAAGCATGGGGTGCAGCAGTTGGTTTCAGTTGCTTGTCTTGCTTCTGGAGACGGCTGGTCGAGGGCAAGGGTCGGCGTGAGGTGAAGTGTAATACAACCACAAGGTGAGATGCCGCCTGTCTGTACGATGCAATGGCGAGGGCAAAGAAACTTGCTCGAGTCCAGTCAAGACAACAAAAACTTGCTCAAGAAGGAAAGAGAAGGAATGAGAGAAATACAAAATCCTCTCGTGATCCGGGGATGCTGAGGAATTAATAACCCAAAGTCTAATACCTCCAAGGCACCGCCAATGGCCACGGCAGCTCCAGGTACCTACCACGCTCACCAATGCTCCGAGCCTCCTCGTCCCTTCTCGCAAAGCCCTTTAGCATCGTGGCTTCGCTGCCAGGCACGAGCAGAGGAGGGCCAATGGGCAGCAGCACGCGTTCCCACGCAGAGTGACGAGTCGTCCGCGCCTGGTGGGCTGAAGTGGACGGCCCCGACTTGAGCTAACAGTGCCAACGATGGGCCTCTGCTCGTTGTTCCGAGTGGCGATCGACGCACGGGGGACCGCAAAAGGGCGGCCAGGGGGGTGCAGTGGCAGCGATTCCATTTAATGCACGGTACGGAGGACGGGAACCGATCATGATTCATCAATCGAGCAAGTGCATTAAACAGCTATTGACACGGCATCTTAGGTATGAATTTCCAAACATGCTGAGCTTTCCCTCCATCGGGTTGAGGAGCCCAGGCAAGATGCTCCCCTTTGCGGCCTTGCTCGTTTCGTCATGAACCGCTGCAATTTTTTCTCACTGCCTGTGGGTGAGCACTCGCAGGTAGCAGTTACCGTGCACCCTGCTGGCCGGCTCGTACCCAGTACCTGTGCTCCGCCCAACATGCATCCGGCCAGGTTCCAGGGACCCCAGGGCTCGTACCATGCACCGGTGGAGCAACCTTGAGTTGGCACGCAGCGGCAGTACCGGTACTCCATCCCGCCCACTGGCAAGGTTCCTGCGGGCCAGGGTTCTTCCAAGTTCTCTCTTCCAAGCTGCTTCGAAACCCGCTTTCCCCTTCGGAGCTCTTGTACGGAGTACCGCGCAAGCTATGCGGCCATCAGGTAGTGGTACCTCCTGTGTCCAATTTCGCTGTGCCTGTTTCTGTGTGCTCGCAGACACCAGACGAAGATCAGAATCCTTCGACGCCTCTTCCTTCTGCCGCTGGCGGCTGCCATTGGCCGTCCCCCAGTCGCAGTCCTCGGGCGGCGTCAGGGCCCGGTGGCTTGCTGCAGGTATTGTGGCATTTCCCTTTGTGTTTCTTAATCATAGCGGCAGAGTGAGACCATTCCTCGCAGATGGTAGCCATGGCGGCGCCCCTTGTCGCATCCGTCTCAACGGTGTAAGCCCCTGTGAGCATGCACGAAAAAAACTTGTCTTCACAAGTTACGGATACAAACCCTTACGATCGCAGACAAGGACAGCAAAGGCAAAAAGGGAGATTGAGTGGTCTCGTAGGGGGGGGGCCACGGCAAAAAGGGGATCAAGCAGGAAAACTTTTCTTTCATTCATGCACTGACACGAAGCCTTGCAGCTAATACCTTGACTACTACCTCACCTACAGCATGTATGTATCAGCCGCAGCGCATTTTACAGTGGGTGAAGCAGGACAGTGGAGTAGAACAAAGTAAAATTTCACTTTGAATCATTCTATTCTCATCGTGCCTCATCCACAGTCATGCCATGAGGCATCTGCTGTTTTCCAGCATGGCAGAAACGCCTGAAATCTCTGCAAAAAGTCCATCCTGATCCCGTCAGGGCGTGGGCCCTCCCTCTTGAGACGGAAGAGACGGCGCAGGCTGACGAAAGCAATCCGTCCATGGCACAATCCGCAGCCATCCAGTCCAGCGCGCACGTTTCCCGAGCGGCTCCAGATTTCCTTTGCTCTGGTGCACCCGCCGAGATCCAATCAGCGAGCTCCGACGTCCGAGCCCTTCGGGGGCCACGGGGGGGTTGTTTCTTCTTTCCTGTTCTTTCGTCGGGGATTTCCCAGGGCCGATGGCTGCCCGTTCCTTTCCTTTCACTTTCTATGTCCCCCATTATGATTAAGTATTATGGAGTCTCGGGTGTCTATTTCTTCTGTTACGCAAGTGTGATGTGTGAACATGAGTGGTGGTTTTCTGTCAATCTGAATTTTCATGGTCAGGTATTAAGATATTTTCTTGTTTGCATCTGTCGTTTCGCGTAGCCTGTTGCTAAGCTCAAACTGGTAATTATCTAGCCATCAAATTCAAGCATCACAGCTTTTGCAGGGTTCAAGGAAAGAGCCATCACGGTGCTTCCCAATGCCCCGCCTGTCCGCTCACCTTGATGTCCGGGCCTCCGTTTCATGACGCACCGTCACTGTAATTCTACCGTATACAAATCTCTTGCCCTTTGGTTTTCGAAACTCCGAGCTGCCGCCGTCGAATTCTTACTCTTCCTACCTGCAGTAGGAACTTAAGGTAGGTACTATGATTATTCGCTTCTCTCTTCTTTGTCATCAATCATCCCCGACATAGGTACTGTACAGTAATATGTCCACGCCATCAGGGTCGTTTACGTGTCACTTGTGCGTGTCCTTTCCTCGACATCCTCTCGACATCCTCTCGACATCCCCGGACTCCGTTCGACCGCCCAGCTCGGCCCCGACGACTGCCTGCCTACTACTACTACTACTACTACTACTACTACTACTACTACTACTACTACTACTACTACTACTACTACTACTACTACTACTACTACTACTACCACCTATCAAAGAGCTCTCCGTCTTCTTGGCAGTTGGTCCAGCTGCTCCGTACTCCGTGCAATAGCCTGGAGTGCATGCGGTCTTGGCTACTGCTTCAGGCCAGCAGCTGAACTGTGCGAAACATAGCCGAGCCATCAGTCGATGCAGGTCGGCAGGCTTCCAGACATGCAGCTTGCTTCGCCAACGTGATTCGCTTCGTCGTCCAGTCCAGTCTCGCCATGGCCCTACAGTACAAAGTACTATTGTCTGCTAGTCTGCACGGCGAATTGATGTGACTGATCGCCTTTGTCCCGTCCCGCTCTGGTCATGGTACAATCACTGAAGACCTCTTCCATACAGAATTACACGTGGTCTCGACGTTGGTGCTTTGTATCGCTACCAACAACTTGTCGGCCAGAAACTTGACTCGTCGTCTGTGGGGTTTACCCATTGCAACCGCATCTTCAGTGGCACATGCCGTCTCAAGCTCTCCCCATTTCGGGGAATGCTCGTGCAATGGATCCGGCTCTCGCTTCAGTCGAATCTAAATCAACCTTTGCGGCCACAAGTCCTGGTGCCTGAGACACGGAAGGTTATCGGCTGCCTACGAGTATGCCGCCATGCTACAGGACGCATCGCATTTGCTAGCTTCAACACGCAGCGTTCTATTACCTGTCAGACTGAGCCCAAGCAACGGCAGAACATCCGTCTTAGGGCTGACGGGCCACGGCTTCCGCTTGTCAGACAGAAGCTGGCTTTTACTTTGCCTTTTGTGCCTGAGCGCTCCGCTTCCCAACCGCTTGTCGTCG